TTATTTATTAGGTCTGGCCCATCATGCGTCATGCGCACAAAGGATCATGTGCATAAATGAATAAGATGCAATGCATGGATGTGTCAAGCCGGATCGTCTGTGGCACTTGAAAGGGGAGGGGTCTTTCTTCCTTTGTTTCACTCCATCTGTTTAACTTCTCTCCTTGTTTCATACCCACCACATACCAAGCTAAACGTTTCTTGCCACTCACTGGCAAGTCTGCAAACGCATTCAACAAGCAAGCAGAGGTATCGCCAAGCAAGACCATACGGATTCAGGGGTTGACGCCAGGCTTTCACCCCCTCCCTGCAAAAAGGGGGCCATCAAGGCATTTCCGAAGCAGAATTTCATGTGAATAGAAACCATGAGAGCGTATGAAAACAGGACCCCCTGCAGCCCCCCCTCGTGCAAAATGCAAAGGTTGTTCCTGGTGCCAAATGGGCACCCGTAGAATTCCTATCGCCTCCCACCCCAACCGTTCAAGTGACACCCCCCCCCCGTTTTCTATGGCTGGGTTTAAGGGGTGGATTAAAAAAAACAAACTCCATTTTTTTTAACAATGCCGCTTCTAAACCAGCAAGAAACCTGTTGGAGGAGGAGGAAGCCAACATCTTTGGCAGGAGCGAGTCAAGAGAAACAAGGAAAAAAAACACCTCTTTCAAAATATTAAAACCTTTTATTTAAAGCAACCCCAGCTTTAGGTCTGCCTGAAGAGAGAGTTTCCTAACCTGACGCCCTCCAGATATGCTGGAAGAACCCCTGAATTCCCCAAGTGCATAATGTAATGAGAACACATCTGGAGAGGGGTACCAGGATGGCTTTCAACCAGGATGGGCCTCTCCAGATGTGTTCCCACGACAGGACTTGCAAAAAAGGGATCTGCTGTCGGTAAACAGCCATTTCACGCCCGATGTAAACAATGGGCTTCCGAGTTTAGCGTAAGCCTTTGGCCCCTTAAATTGAGCTCTCAAATGACCCGGATCTCATTTCCAATCAGGATCTGGACGGGTGTCCGGCGCCAAACCCCTTTTTGGGAAGGGAGCATTGAGTACAACTCTTGTGAAATCCTATCACTAGTGCAAAAAAACCCAAGGCCTGTGCATAGGGGGAGACACACATGCCACAACATTGCAGCCATGATGTTTTGCAGGGGGACAGCCCGAACAGACAACGCAAGTCATACAGACTGGTAACGCAGTTTGGGTCACCCTCGAAACTCTGCTAGCACGAGAGGAATCCAGTGGACTAGCAGCTTGGCGGTCATTTAAAACACACTTTAATGTAATCTGTTCTGAGAAGGGCTTCCTTCTTACAGAACTACGGGCAACGGGACCGGAAGGGGTCTGAAATATTTTTGATAGGCAACGGGCCTCTCTCTCTGCCACTGAAGACATGATTCAGTCTGCAGAACAATGTTTAGTCCATCCCAGCACATTTAGAGGGGAAGGTCAGTGGGGAAGAGGGGCGAATCAGCCCACTAAGCAACTGATTTAGTTGTTCGTAAACCCTTCTCTTGCTGCTCCTTGGCTGGTCTGGCTTCTGAAATGGTGGAAGCTCTAATTGTTAGGGTTTAGCATCTTCTCATGTACCAATTGCACCCCCCGCCCCAGTAAATGCTGGGTCCCCCATGAACAAGTGGGAGGGCAAGGTTTGAGCCCAAGTGGTTCTCCACCTGTTCCAAGGTGGACACCCGTAAGTACTGGAAGCTGACCGTGATCACTGGAGATCCTTCCCCCACCAGCTAGAAAAAATATGCAGGTTTTATGTAAGACGGTTAAAAGGAAAGGTGCAGTATTTTTTCTAGAGTAATTCTTAAGATGCATTAAAAAAAAAAAAATCTCAGATTTTCCCTCCCACAGATCTATACAGAATAAAGTGCTTCGTTATAAAGTTTCTTTCGTTTCCAATACTAAGAGTTACTGATGGACATTTTTTCCCCCCCGTTCTGGCTATTTGGCAGTAGATACCAAATGCCATAAAAGTTAATTAGGTGGTCAAATACCAGGCACTCATAGAGTTAGTCTGAGACGTGCGAAGTCTGTCCTTCCGTCCTTCCTTCCTCACCAATATACACTACCAAAGTTTCAAAGGATGTAGGCATCTCTCTTTCCAGTGTTAACCACCACTTTAAGACTTTGACCTGAGGGTCACACCAGGAAGGAACAGATCGTACAATCAACCCCCAAGAGTTCAACACGTGCCGTTTGTCCACCAGTTCACCGTTATTGCACTATCTCGAACATTTTTTGGGGCCACAGCCTTCCTGCAGCATCTTCCTTGTCCATTCAGGCATTATGGCTGTTGTTCCAGGGGCCAGCCCTGCTCACGTGGACAAACACACAAACAAAGAAAGGTCTTGGAAGTTCTAGCCAAAGAGGATCCACCAAGCTTTGCCAAAGCTGTGAAAGTTGGGGCAGGAAAGAGGAAACATGATTCCCAAAGCAGATATGCAGTGAAACCCTTATGGTATGCATGCGTGCAAAAGAATGGGTCGGTTTTTGAAACATGGCCCATTTTTATATGGACTGAAGGGGCCTTTGCCTTGGAAATGAATGACAACCGTAGAATGGCTGAGCTAATAATGCCCCCAAGTTCTGGTCTTCGGTAAAAGAGTCTGGAATAACTTACAAATGTCCTATTGTGGAAGAGCTCTTAGGATTAGATATAATAAAGTGCAAAAAAAAAGTTAAAACAACCAAAAACATTTTTTTAACGGCTCAATGTCTTCCTCCAAACCAGTAGAAAAAGAGCTTGCAGAGAGTATGTTGGTTTCTAGAGGAGTTGTGAGTAATCCTGCTCAAGAACAGTATGTGTAGTCAAGGATCTGTAGACTAAGTGATGGTGTTTAGGCTGGATGTTGTCTTCATCACTCCCAAGGATGCTTGAATTAAGCCTGATGGTTGTACCCAGATGGTGATCAAGAAAAAGGCTTCTAATGTTCTACTATTTTCAAGTGACTATTCGTGAAGGGGGGACCTCATCTCTAGCTTGGAAGCTTCAGAGGAGGCCAGGTGAGCTTCACACTACAGAAGTTGAGAAATGGACAGTTGCACCAAGGGATGGGCAAGAATGACGGAGAGTGAATGAATGGGAAGTTGGCCTTGGAAGAAAGTGCTGCACGCTCACACACTCAAGTATCCATTTTCTCACACCAAGTATAGCTTTACCATCCATGTCTTGCCATTTCCTTCCAGTTCCATGGGGAAATGTTTCCATATTTCTCCATTCCCCTTCAGAGGAACATGAAAAGCTACAGTGCTTTCTTCCAACCTTCTTGTCTTGGGTGAAAGCACCTCACTCCTTCAATCTCCAAGAGAAACCCATATACTTCTCACTCCCCCAAACCCACATTTGACCAGATAGGTCTGGAAAGTCCTTGACTGTACCTTCCTCACTGGCATGCTCTACCAGGGCATTTTCTCTAGATCTTCATAGTCAAAAAATAACACATGAATCTCTTCTACGCCATCCATACAGACTGAAGGATGATCAGAGCTGGAAGTCCAACGCGTATCAGAAGAACAGGTCAAGCGTAGCTGGTCTGCATCTTTCCGCAAGCAAACAGATGAGAATATTACCTTCACGGCTTGGGGAATTTGAGTGGCAATGATGACCTCAAGGCTCCTGATGCTTCTGTTGAAGGCCAAGACCCTCAGGGCCCTCAAACTGAAACCCAGACATGATGCCTGTTCAGAATAGACCCAGTCGGAATGCTTCCTACAACAGTCAATGGCATTGGAGAGACCTGTGGAATTACGAGCCAGTTTGACGCACCAGACTGAGCAGGGTCTAGTTGTTCATATTCACTCTGCTACCTGGGAAGAGAGCTGGTGGGGGGGGTAACAGAGGAGGAGGAGGTATGCTACGTGCATGAGGATGCACAAGAGGCAGAGGAAGTGCGTGGGAATGTGACGTCGAATGGACTGGAACTCCAGTTGTCAAATGAGTTGAGTTGGCATTCTGAGATGTGGGGAGACCAAGGGAGTCTGTATCTCGGCTGGGATCTGTAGCTGGCGGGTTGCTGACCCTGAAGCACTTCTCCTTGTGGGCCTTGAGCATGTTGGAGAAACGGAAACGCTGACCACAGACGTCGCAAGGGTAGGGCTTCTCTCCCGTGTGGGTCCGGCGGTGGCGTTTCATGTTGGGGCGGCTGGTGAAGCTCTTCCCACAGATCTCGCAGATGTATGGCTTTTCACCTGGAGAAGCGGGATGGGATGGCGGGATGGGGTGGGGTGGGGTGGGGGAAGACAGAGATCTTTTCTGAAAATGTTCAGCTGTAGTCATACTTGGCCCAGAACCAATTATCAAGGAAAGAAATGGAAAACTAAGTCAGGGATGGCTTAGGATAGGAATCAAGAAGAATTTGGCATTAGCCGATCAGTGCTACGGACTAGACTTGCCAGCAAGAATCATGAGGTCCAAATGGCGACCATCACGAATGCTAGCCTCACCACACATTTGCTTACTTTCTCTGGAAAGAGGATCTCTTTTTAATTTGGGTGAACCAAATGGCAAATTGTGATGGGCTGTGAGAATAACCATGGGAGGCAAAAGGAAGAGCCGCAGCCTAGGTCTGATAAGAGAAATCTGGGTCCAAAGGAGGAATGGGGGTGGAGAAAGAGTCTCAGAAGAGACCCTCCCAGGTTCTCTGGAAAGTAAAGTCAGGGGAGGGGGAAGTGCTTTCAGACTTGCAAGACTGATGTCAGCGCTTCAAGGTAGTCCAGACAGGAAACAAAAACCATGAGTACTAACACTACTTTTACTCTAAGGTTATAGCAACAGAATCTTGCAAATCTGAAAGTGCTCCCCTTTCCTTTCCTTTCCTTTCCTTTCCTTTCCTTTCCTTTCCTTTCCTTTCCTCCCTTCCCCTCCCCCCTCCCTTCCATTTTTTGTCACATTTATAAAGCTGTCCATCTCACAAAGTGACTCTGGGTGGCGTACAACAATTAAATAAAATAACAAGTGGATAAAAACAAACATTATAAAAAGATAAAACGTGATTATTAATTTAGATTTTAAAAATACAAACCCCACGGAGAGGTTCTACATTCTGTAAAACTTTACATTCTAGGGAACTAGGGAGGGTCCCTTCTGATACGCTTTCCCCACCCCATCCCTGCTTTGGACTCAGATTTCTCTTACCAGACTGTTGTCTAGGATGCAGTTCTTTCTCCTGTCTCCCAAGGTTATTCTCACAGCCCATCACACATACATGATTCAGTATAAAGTATGCCCCCGGGACCAAAAAGCCCCCTAACTTCACATTCACAGTGATGTGTTCTGAGCTGTCTACAACTAACTAGAAAAAGATCTTGGGGTAACAGTGGTGAGCAAAATGAAGATGAACTCCAGGTGCTATGGTTATGAAAATGGCAAATTCTATGCTAGGAAGAGTTAGGAAAGAGCAAAAACTGTGTAATGGGCAGAAGGAATAATCCTGAGGAACAGGAAGAAGAACCACTTCCAAGACAATGATCAGATAAAAGAAATCTGAGTCCAGGCCAGAACTGTAACCTGAGAAAGCGTCTCAGACAAGACCCTCCCTAGTTCTCACAAAGATAAAGGGAGGGAGGAAGTGCATTCAGACTTGAAGATTCTGTTACAACAGCTCTATAATAAAAGTAGTATTAGCTTGCATGACTTTGGTTCGGAGTTGGGTCTACCATGAAGGGCTGACATCAATCTTGCAAGTCTGAATGCACTGAATGGGATTATTCACAATTGCTGCGAATGATCAGCCAAGTTTCACGAAAGAGTTGGTGACTCTTCTAGGTAAACAGGAAAGTGCATGAAAAGCGAGTCGGCTGTCTCACCTGTGTGTGTTTTCATGTGCTCATCAAAATACTGCTTCATATTGAAGTCCTTCCCGCACCACTGGCACATGAATTGCTTGTGCCCGATGTGGATACTCATGTGAGAGCGCAACTGGTACTTATACTGGAATCTCTCATTGCAATTCTAGGTGGATTAGCAAGAGAAAAGGAAGTTGCGTGAGAAGGTAACAAACATTTCACTGGATTAAAGTAGAACATATGGTTCTCCCTGTAACGTACATTTGGTTCTTCTAACTGTCCTAGGAGGTAGGCTGAGAGAATGACTGGCTGGCTGAAGGGCATCCAGTGACCTTTGTGGCTAAGTCTGGACTGAAATATGGGTTCATCCAAGCTTCTGATCCAACCTTCCCAACCTGGTGCCCTCCAGAGTTGTTGGGAGGGTAACAGGATTCCCATGCCAACACAGAGAACATCCGGAAGTTACTAAGTTGGAGAAGTTGAAGAAAGTTGGATCACCTTCCTTTATTTTCCTTTCTGGGACAAATCTTGCCGCTCATTTTTTTACTTAATGTGCCCAGGGACCAGCCCAAGTGCTTTGGGCGACACCAAGACCACGAGATGGACATCCCATAGGCACAGCATTGAATCTGCACTCATGTATCAAGGGCCCATCAAAGGATGAGGGCCTGTCGTTGCAACCTTCTCTCCCACATTGCTCCCTGTTTTCATTACTTAAAAGAAATAAAAGAGAAACTACATTATGGAGAGAGAAAGGCCCACCTTTTACACCTGAAATTTCAGGTAAGGTGCAAACATTTTTATCTAAGTAGTTTGATATGCCATTCCTGTTATCTGCAAATACACATGGATCTTTTTAAAAGTGAAATGCAGATGTGGATTGATCAGCCTGCACCTGAACCTGGGTGTCAAACAGAAAACCTCCTTATACTAGAGTCTGATATAAAGGTGGGATTATTAATCACATCAATGATGTTTTCCCAGGCCTTGGAAATGGACACTGGTTCTGAAAGTGTTGACTGTGTGAATGGTCAATCAGATCACACGCAGACATGGATTCTCACCTCACATTTAAATGGCTTCTCACCCGAATGCTGGAGAGAATGTACTTTCAGAGACATGCTGCGCTTGAACGATTTCCCACACGTCTCACAGGTGAAAGGCATGTCCTTGGTGTGAGCTAAAAAGCAGAGAGGAATCAGGGTTGTCTTCTAAAGCTGCCCATGAAGTGCTGAGCCCAGCTACACGATCATCGGCTCTGCTTAAGACACATGACTTCAGATGATCTCTGCCGTGAGAGGTCATCAGCAAGAAGGGTCCCCCGCCACCCCGAGAAGACTAGCAGCTTGGGGTTGGGGGAAAGTTTTGAGTTCATTTCCACGTGAATGAGACTCCTTCTCCTGGAGTCTGAAATGTAAACGGCCTAGCAAGAATAGCACACCGACGCTTCTGTAGCACCGCTACACTTCTGATTATGTGGCCCAGCTCAAAGAAATCCAGGATAAAGATTGGGGGTCATGTTCTAACTCAGTTAGAGCAACTGAAGATCTGGAATGGTTGCAGTAAACCAGATGTCTTCAAGAAGTTCTGGAAATACAACTGTCTGGACACATCACTGCTTCATCCAGTACATCTTATGGCCAAAATGGTTTGGAATTGAAGTGCCAACAAGAGATCTAACTCGATCTCGCAAGGAGAATACAGCTGGAATAATATTGTCACAAACAACTCTTCTGTCATACCAAGGATCACTACCTGAGACCCAACTGGCACTTCTTTTGGGGAGATGGGGAATTTCTGCTTTTCCAGAAGTTGTTAGGACACAACTTCCATCATCCATGATTGCGGTCATATGGGTTGGAACTGACAGGAGTTGGAATCGAACATCTTCTAGATGATCTCAGGTCTCCTGTCTTGCTCTACTCCATCTGCTCCCCCTTCTTCCCTGCCCCACTCACCAACCATGTGTTTCCGCACATGTGCCATCGTGTAGAACTTCTTCTCACAGATCTCGCAGGAGAACTTCTTCTCAGCATAACTGTGGACAATTTTGTTATGCTCGTGCAGGGACCAGAGTTTCTTAAAAGCTTTCCCGCAAGTAATGCACTGCAAGGAAGAATACTCACAGGTCATCTTTGGGGCTGGTTATCATTTTATAAATGAATTGATTCGTTACCTGTTGTAATGTACAAGTAGTCCTCATTTAACGACCATTTAGCAATTGTCTGAAGTTACCATGGAGCTGAAAAAAATGACTTGTGACTGGTCCTCACACTTATGACCATCACAGTACTCCCGCGGTCACGTGATCATGATCTGGGTATTTGGCAACCAGCTCATGCTTATGTTGGTTGCAGCGTCCCGGAGTCAGGTGATCACCATTTGCGACCTTCCCAGCCAGTTTCCAGCAAGCAAAATCAATGGGGAACCATGTGATTAGCTTAACGACCACTGCAAAGAAAGTCGTTAAATTGGATGCAGTCACATGATGCTTCATTTAACGACCGCCCCACTTAATGATGAATGTTCTGGTCCCTACTGTGGTTGTTAAGTGAGGACTACATCATAACATAAGTAATTATGCTCCCAGAAGTCCCTTTCTTTTCCAACCTTATACAGGGTTAACCTTCTTGCCCAACCAGACTTACTCTTATCTAATTTGGACTATAAATTGATTGCCAGTATTTCTTGGATCAATGGCCCTGATTATTTCAGCTTCTAGCTTCCCCCTCCACCTGCCGTCTCCTTCCATCTTCAGACAAGGGGGACAGGAGCTGTTGCAAGACCAAGTATGAAGTGCTCCCTTTCTCAAACTCTAGGTCAAGCCAAGCTGAACTGCAGAAACACACCCTTTCTCCTCTACAGAAAGGTCTTTGCCAACAAACTCACAGTATTAACTTTCCTATTCTGTGGCTGCCTTTAGCAAGAGGCGCTAGATCTGAAGAAAGAGAAATGGATTTTCATAAACTTCCTTATAATCTGTCCAGGCTCCAGAATAACTCTTAATCATGTATTTTTTTTCCCCTCTGTATTGGATTTTTTTTTTAACTTGGGGCATTTTATTTTATTTAATAAATTGGCTGTTAGCTGTCCAGAGTTAATGTACTTAAGATGATCAGTCATATACCTTTTTTAAATAAATAAATACATAAATCAGGGGAACAAAAAAAATCGTTCTGCTTCTATCGATGGCTAGAAAAATAGGGTGTCAGCGAAGATAGGGGAGAGGCAAATTTAATTACTTTGTTTGCTCCGATTCTCTCTTTGGACCACCTCCCCTCTCTTAGCTTTACCTACTTTACAAGATTGTTGTCAGGATTAAAAATCAGGAGATGCAACCGTCCTAAATATGGAGTCAAGCTTCTTGATAATGCAACAGAAGTCAAATAGGGGAAAATGGAGTTTGACCCGGTCTTTCTAAATTCCTCAACTTCTTCCATCTTTTATCCGGCCCCTACAGAATCACCCTTTGGGGAACCAAAGCTGGTTTTTACTTGGTCAGTCACAAGCCTGGATCCCAACCTCACAAGCCAGGGAAGATAGATTGGCTCATATTTTGCCCCCATGTCTTCCCGTTCCCATTTTCTTTTTCTGATTGTCCAGGCTGCTGCTAAATGCCCAGACACGAGAAAAAATATGTGTGTGCCCCTTGGCACCAGGCGAAGCACACACACTCCGCTTTTCTTCTCACCTGATCCAGAGTCAGTTCTGAAAGTTCTCCCCTTCCCTCACTGCAGTTCTGCGTCCTACCACTTACTGGTGCTGCCGGATTGCGAAATGCTACATTTGGCAGCCAGAAACACACACACACAGACACACACAACCACCCACAAAGCATCCTTTTGCAAAGAATTCAGATTGAATTGGCAGACTCCTGCCAGATGATCTGGATCACAACTCCCTCTCTGAATTGCACAGCTCCAACCCACTGTGCAAGCCCGTTTTCAGCTGGGAATGGACTCAGGACAGAAGGGCCGGGGAGCCCATCGCTAAACGTGCTCCAAGATCCTTGTCCAGGTCATTCCTGGACTAAAACAAAACAGAAACTGTGCTAAGGAGGGAGATCACGTCTCCCAGTTTCCTGCAAGGGAGCTGTGGAGTCTGAGAAAGGAAACACAGGGCAAGAAGGACCACGCCACAATTGCTCTGAGCGACAAAAGCCACAATTATTCCTTTCTTTTCAGGTGGCTTTGAGATGCACGTGCAATCAGTTGCGGTAGTCCAGATTTACGAAAGAGAGGAACGATGCCACCCAAGGGGACGTTGACTTGCCCAACTATTCCTTCCTCTTACGCTCAGCAAGGAGCTTTGGGGAATTTTTCAAGCATGAAACTAATATTCTCTCTGCCCAGCCCACCTTGCAAGGTTGTTGTTGGGTGTGAATTAGGAAGAACCAGGTTCTGACATTCTGCAAATCAGTGAGAGCCATACTGTTTGGGTGGGTTTCTGACCCTTTGTGGTTCTTCCGACCTTGTAATATTAGGAGCTTCCCACCCACCTCCATTTTTTCCGCAATTGGTTTATTTATTTAATTAAATTTAGTGGCCGCCCAGCTCCTGACGAATTACACTTTTAAAAAGTCAGAAAACTCTGCAATATTAAAAAAAAAAATACTTCCAGAAAAAGAAAACATACAGTAAACCCAAGACGTTTACATTTTTTTGGTATTTTATCTTTTATCTCCTTGTTCCCTGCCTAGCATCTATTTGATTTGGGGCAAGATATAAATTTATTTGGCATAAATAAAGCCATAAATCATGATGGTGTTAAACTTGGCCAGGGGTCAACAACCTACACTTTGGGGGCAAAATGGGAGATTTGCAAATGGGGCGTTTTTTTCTCCTTTATTCTTTTCCCCCAAAAAAGGGTGAGAATGGCAGGGAGTCCTTAGGGAGGCCAGTTGCCCCCTTTTCTCCAAAGAAACACCCCACAAACTATTTCTCAGGGGCACTATTTTTGGCCACGGTGGGGAATGTGGAAGGGTGGAATTGGCTTTTGGCTCCCATCGCCACCCTTTAAACTCTCCCCCGCTAAAGAAAAAAGGTCAAGAAATCATCTATGGCCCCCAGTTTGTCAGGAGAGCAAGCTGTTGAAGGAAAATCAGGCAGGACGGGAATGTTAGAACTGGGATGATGTCTCGACTTCCACTGGCTGGGAACGATGTCTCCAACCGGGCTCCCACCAAGACCTTGAGAACAGCAGCCTGTAGGAGAAACAAACACGAAGTGAGATCAAGGAGGTCCTCACCTGAATGTTCTTCTCACAGTCTGTCTGATGGTGCAAGAGTAGCTCGCTCTCCAGCAGAAACCTCTTGCCACACTTGTCACAGATCTGCATGCGGCTGTGCGTGACGTTCATGTGTTTCTCCAGGTACCAGCGGTTGTTAAAAACCCGAGGGCACTTCTTGCAGGGGTAATGCTGCTTCTCCTCCAGCTTCACCTTCTGGCCATGGCTATCCTGTTCCTTCTTCTGCTTCTTGCCTCTCTGGTCCTCCCCTTCCTCCTCGGCTGCTTCCTCTTCCTCTTCCTCCTCCTCCTCTCCTCCTTCTTCCATCATTGTGGCAACTTCAGTGGCTTTTTGGGAGACAGCTGACTTGGTGGCCTTGGCAAGTTGTCTAGTCCTGTGGGGTGCTCCAGCCTTCTCCCCTTTGATCTCATCCACTGTGTCATTACTGTCATTGTCCCCTTTGTCCTCTTCTTCCTCCTCTTCCTCCTCCTCTTCCTCCTCTTCCTCCTCCTCCTCTTCCTCCTCTTCAGAGGTATCTTCCAGGTCTTCCTCTTCAGAGTGCTCATCTTCATCCCCCACGTCTGCATCCTCATCTTCATCTTCCCTGCCCCCGTTTTCCTGCTCTCGATCCCCCACAGAGGAATGCCCTTCTCCTTCTGTCTGCCCAGCCTCTGTGGCCACAGTAGCCACTTGGTCAGCAGCCGAGGGCTGTCCCTCTGTGCCTTTAGAGACATTGAGGGTCTGGTTGTTAAGGTTGACCTCCACAATGATTTGCTCACCACGGCTGTAGGAGCCTCGGCTGGCCAAGTGCGCCTCAGACGTGTCCCCTTCCATCTTGCAGACAGGAGGAACACCACTCTTCTCCTCCTTGTAGAACTTCTTGCTGGCCACGGCAGGATGGTTCTGGTTGCCATCCTCCACCCGCACAGAATACGGGATGTTCCCTTCTCGGGCGAAGATCTTGGGATGTGGGGGATCCATTTCTTGCTTGATGTCACAGTAGAACTGGGGAGGTGGCCCAGTTTTGCTACAGTCGTCTGGAGTCAAGGCCATATTGTTGGTCATGGCTAAGCTGAGAGCTCGGGTGCTGATGAGCTCCTGGCAGGAGGAGGCAATGCTGCTCATCTGCAAGACAGATGCTGCATTCAGGACATCCTGAATGTTGGAGGCGTTGACTAGCAGTTTCGAGGTATAGATGAAATCCAGGATCTGCTGAAGGCCGAGGGAGGTCAGCACCTCCAGGGAGAGCTCCACCCGCTGGAGCTGCTTGTTCTGGGTGAAGAGAGAGTGAAAGAACTGGCTGTAGGCTGCAAGGACCCCCTTGTGAGCTGGGAAGATGCTCTTCTGTTGCACCAGGACAATGTCCACGTCGCACAGGTCTGGCTGGAAGAGGCGTTGCTCATTCAGCCTGTCCATCAAACAAGTGAAGTGGAGGGCCGCATCTTCTACCAGAGAGTACTCAGGAGCAGGGTAGTCTGCTGTCTTCTCAACTATCAGCTGCCGGAAGGAAGGAAGGAAGGAAGGAAGGAAGGAAGGAAGGAAGGAAGGAAGGAA